GGATTGATGACTGCATGATTGGGCGTTTTTTCTCTTTTCGTTATGCGTTTTTACGTCGACATTTCCGATCTTTCCGATTCATCCCTCCTCGTCCTGGTCCATTCACAGCGGAGTTGACGCTAGCTGGCTGGTTGCAACTCACCTTGAGGCCTTGCACTTAAATGGCCTTGCTTGAGGTTTGAAAGTGAAGTCGTCCTTCTTTTGTGGACCAAAGGAAGGGCGAGGCGGCAATGAGTGAGCAGATGCCAAGCAAAATGGAAGTCAGACGGGAAGCAAGCTGGAACTGAGATCCTCTCTATCTTCCCTCTTTTCCAGTATGAGACTGTGGCACACCTATCGCGTGGCTTCTGGCATTTGTCCCATATTGCCTGCACTGCGCCACTGACCTTCCCACTTGGGTCTTGCCCCTCATTTTATATGACTGTTTCTGTGATGATGCTATCGCCTTTTGCGCCTCTTCGCTCTCCCATCTCTTTCCCTCCCTGTCGTCCTCATTCACCGTGCCGGGTCTTTCAAGCATGATCCGATCTATTGGACCTACTTTTCGCATGCGATCATGTGGACTTCGCAACACACGACCCAAAGCGAAATTTGAAAAAGCACAAAGGAGATAAAGTGATGAATTATCTCTATCTCGAGTCCCCTTTTTTGATACCCCCTAATTCCCCTCCTGTGTCATTGCCCCTGTTCCTTATCGTTAGTTCCCCCTCCAAAACTCCCTTCCTATCTTCTCCTTTACTGGCGCTCATCCTTGCTGAACCCCGACCATCCCATCAAGGCATCAAGACTTTGATTCTCCTCCGTAGAAGAGAAGGTCGGGTGATCTCAGCGCTCAGCGGATGTGGCAGCCGTCACCGATATGTGTGACAGTCGACATGATGTATTTTGAATGATAGCTGTGAATAAACAAGCTAGTATGGCACTTTGCTTTTGTACTCTTCACAAACTTTAGCAATAAGGGCCTGAACCCCGTTCTAGGTGCAGTCGAGCAATGACTATCACGTCCACCCTACATGCGAGAAGCACGCCATGGTACGACGATCGCCAACTTACCGCTTATAGTTAAATTTGGTAATAGCTTAATGCTTCTTACCTAGGGTTTTCTTTCCGTAGCTGGACTGAACTGATATTTGAAACTCAAATTGCTCTTTAAATCATACTTGTGTCCAACACGAGTGCAATTATGTGAGGCCTCTAATCTTACATGCTCAATTCTTCTCCGGTACCCTCACTCTATGGTTAGGCGGCCTTGTTTCTCTACCCGAACCCAGTACAGGTATGTACCTGATGGCGCTGAATGTGTTCAACACCTCAAATCTTCTAGCGGAATATCCTGTGCTATTACAGGCGCAAGCCGACCTGCTTACGAACACGTCCTCAACAAGCAAGGTTGGATTTTCAGTCCATGAAACGTCTCTAACCACCACCCCGCATCCAAGAGAAGCACAGCATGGGTCCATGGCACGTTGATCGCGCCCCGTCTAAGCGTCTCATGGACTCGTGGCTAAAAGTAGCACGCTCCACCGCGGAGGAAGATAATCTGGGGTATTTGGTCGAGACTGGGGAAAGGTCCAGATCCCACAACCATCGGTGGCATCCATGATTTTCCTGACAACGGATGTTGGAGTTGGGCTATGGGATGGATCTCCTCCGCAAAATAGAGAAAGTAGTCTAGAAAGTTAGAGCTTCTGGGGCGGTACCGGATAGATAGTTCCTAGGGTGGAGGAAAGTCTGTTAGTCATGAATTGATTGTGTTCACTACGAGTACTATCTACTACGCTAGGCACCTCTCTAGTAGTCGAATGGTTTAAAGATTCAAGTATTGTATAGCATGGTTATCATGAGGCTAGAAATTGGGATCATGACTGACTCTTCATGGAGATAGCAGAATCATATCGACATCATAGATAAACCTAATAATAATATCATTCAAGACTACTTACAGTATGTAGTACCTAGGCTCTTTATCAGCGCGCTCCCGCAACAAAGCGCGCTTTCGGACCGCCCCTTGGTCTCATGAGACCGACACCGGCCGCAATTGGGCTATCTGTCCGCTGCTTATCGGCTTCTCCAGCAGTTCCAGATTTCCTCTGGATGAGGGTCAGCCTCTCAGCTCGGCTCAGTATCTATCCAGGTCGTATCCACCGTCTCCATCGCTGATATGCGGGGTCGAGGCCATTCCTTTCCCGCCAAGTCTTCACGAGACACCGTCCACTGTGGAATTTGGACCCTCCCTTAGCATGTTCTGTAGTTATCTATGGACGGCGGGAGCTTATTCCTCGTCTATATCTCGTGTTTTATCTAGCTGGCCAGACTTAGTGGAGATGTTATCGTCTTGTCTTGTCTTCAAATATCCACTCATTCCCCCTTCCATTCCTCCTTGACCAGATCGTCTCAATAGCGGGTCACTCTGTGTTCACATCACCACCCTAATATTACTGGAATAAATCACTGAATTGATTTGAAACCTACAATTTGACCCTCTGACTTGACATACATCGGTATTGACCTCAAAGCCCCCCCGCACCATGCACGAGGCCACCGTTGATGCCAGCGCCGACGCGGCGCTGGCCAGGATGGGCTACAAGAGCGAATTGCCTCGTAATTTGAGCATGATGAGTATTCTCGGCCTGTACGTGATTTCTACATGACTTTATCCCCCTCTGTGGCATGGGTGCAGCTGCTGATCCCTCGCGTGTCCAAACAGTTCCTTCGCCATCATGGCCGCTCCCTTTGGTCTCAGCACCACCATGTACATCACCCTGACAGATGGTCAATCCGTCACCATCATCTGGGGCTGGGTCCTCGTCACCTTGATCTCGATCGCGATCGCCGCCTCCCTGGCCGAAATCTGCGCTGTCTACCCGACCGCCGGCGGCGTGTACTATTGGAGCGCCATGCTGTCAACCAAGGAATGGGCCCCGATGATGTCCTTCATTGATGGATGGTTGACGCTCGTGGGGAACTGGACCGTCACGCTCAGTATCACCTTCTCGACCGGCCAGCTGATCCTGAGCGCCATCTCGCTGTGGAATGAGGACTTTGTTGCCAATGCCTGGCAGACCATCCTGATGTTCTGGGCGGTGGTACTCGTCTGTGCGATCGTCAACATCTTCTTCTCCAAGTACTTGGACTTGATCAACAAAGTGTGTATCTTTTGGACGGCGGCTAGTGTAATCATCATCTTGATCGTCCTTTTAACGATGGCGGATAATCGGAGGGATGCGGCGTTTGTTTTTGCGCATTACGATGCGTCGGATAGTGGTTGGTGAGTGGTCTCGCAATTCCTTTCAAGTACGGGAATACTGACTTTGGCTAGGCCTTCTGGATGGGCTTTCTTCGTCGGTTTGCTGCAGGCAGCGTACACCTTGACGGGATACGGCATGGTCGCTTCCATGTGTGAAGAAGTGCAGAACCCTCATCGCGAGGTCCCCAAGGCCATCGTCCTGTCGGTCATCGCCGCCGGTATCACCGGTCTCATCTACCTGATCCCCATTCTCTTCGTTCTGCCAACCGTGAAGGACCTCCTCAGCGTGGCCAGCGGCCAACCGATCGGCCTCATATTCAAGACAGCGACTGGCTCCGCGGGGGGTGGCTTCGGATTGCTGTTCCTCATTCTTGGCATCGCGATGTTCGCCGGCATTGGCTCCCTGACGGCTGCCAGTCGCTGCACCTACGCATTCGCCCGTGACGGGGCCATCCCCGGCTTCCGCATCTGGCGCAAAGTCAACAAGCGCCTCGATGTGCCCGTTTATGCCATCTTGCTCTCTGCAGCGGTCAACTGCCTCCTGGGCTTGATCTACTTTGGCTCGACCGCCGCCTTCAACTCGTTCACCGGTGTCGCTACGATCTGCCTGTCGACTTCGTACGGTCTCCCCATCCTCATTTCCATGATCCGTGGGCGCCAGGACCTCAAGGAGTCTACCTTCTCTCTCGGAGCATTCGGATATGCGATCAACGCAGTCACAGTGTGCTGGATTGTCCTGGCTGTGGTCCTCTTCTGCATGCCTGTCGCCTTGCCGGTGACTGCCACCTCGATGAACTACGCCAGCGTTGTCTTTGCTGGGTTTGCGGCGATCAGCATTATTTGGTACTTTGTCTATGCGCGCAAGCATTTCACCGGACCGCCTGCGTCGGCCGAAGAAGTAAGGGCGCAGCCTGTGATGACAGGGAAGGCAGTTGTAGATGCTGAGAATGCATATTCAGATGGATCGATGTCCATGAAGAAGGCGGAGCAATGATCTTGTACTAGTTTTTCCTTTTTGTTATGACCTCTTTTCTTGGCCTGGTGCAGATGAGGGTATCCATCGAGTCACCCATATGTTTCTATATGTATCACCACAATAAATATGCTAGGCACATAAAGTGAATTGACGAGTGCAATTGAGCATAAGCATTTTCATTTGACTATAAACTTATTAAACCGATTTACTAGAAACGCAACTTGTCAAGTGTTCTGTTGACGATGACGCGGAGCTGTTGGTTGTCATTTGTCAATCACAGGTCCCAGCTGTCAGGGACTCCGAGAGCCGCGGTACAACCTGTTCGGGCAAACATCTAACAATCACGACTCCCCACGACACGATAGCCAACAGCATCCACCCCTGTCTTATCATCCGCCAATTGCACAAAAAAGGGAGAATACAACATCTGATACAAGAATCTCAGTCTCAAATTCCGATCATAATAACCCCTTCACCTCCCACTCCATCCAGTACCCAATTGCTGTTGGCGCTGAAATCCGGGGAAGCTTGGGGATCTCGTGCGGTCCGCTCCGATCATCCTCAGTAATCATTCAACATTCGCCTCCCCTTTTTTGAACTCGACTACCGACCGGTCCCAGCGCCGTCCGAAGCGGAGGACCGTCTTCAAAGCTGGAGCAACCACCGTTGATACTCGCGCGATACCTCCGGGAGAAGCCACCGCCGGGAATCGTCGATCGCAAGTTCTCTGTCAGCTCTCATGAAGGACAGGCTCGGTTCGAGGCTTCGGATCTCACCATGTCGGACTCTGTGGGTATGTAACCGACCACAGGGGTCACTTGCGTTGATTGGGGGTGCTGATGTGTTTGTTTGTTTGTTTGCTTGCTAGATCGAGTCTTCGTCCATGCCCTCAATACCGTCAAACGCATCCCGCGGACGGGCACCGCGAGACCGCCTGCCGCCGAGAGATTAAAGCTTTATGGGTTGTACAAGCAGAGCATGGGTAGGCGCTTCTTCGATACGGGGTTTAGGGTTTGCGTGTGCTGGATAGATATGCTGATTGATGATTGATACCATAGAGGGCGATGTGGAGGGCGTCATGGACCGACCCGTCGGGAACACCGCAGACGTCTACGCGGAGTGTGAGAAATGGTATGCTGGCCCCTCTGCTTTTTTCATTGCTTTCCATATCCGGTCCGGGTGCTGATCAGGCGCAGGGACGCATGGTACGCCCAGCGCGGGCTCTCCCGCACCGAGGCCAAACGGCGCTACATCTCCACCCTCATCGACACAATGCACCGCTACGCTTCGCAGACCCCCGAGGCGCGCGAGCTCGTCGCGGAGCTCGAGTTCGTCTGGGACCAGATCAAGTCGAATGCCTCGTCCTCCTCGTCGTCGAGCCCCATGCAGAATGTGGGCGTGCCGCCGCTACCCCAGCCGACCTATGCGAGTATCGGGGGCCGGTTGGCCCGTCCGATCTACGAGGATATCATTGCTACGGCGCGGGATAATCACAGTCGTGAGCGGAATCGTGGAGATACCAGGTTACGTGTCCTCAGTCCGGTGAGTCAGCCTGATGGGCTGTATGAGCGGCGCGGGAACAGGGACGTTGCGGATGAGGAGGAGGTACAAGTACCAGAAGATGAAGATGAAGAGGACGAGGAGGAGGAGTACGAGGAGGCTCAGGACACCATTTATGAGGATGATGATGACAATGACAACAATAACAACAACAGCAACAACCAAAGCCAACAGAACAGCCACAGATTCGATGATGATCCCGACGAGGCGCAGTCCCGAGGGCGAACGCGAGGGTTACAACCAGCAACAGCAGCAGGGGACAAGAAACACCGCGTTGTAAGCTCCGGCGAGCGCGACCACCGATGGCGACGGAGGGTCGAGCAGGCCTTGACCAAGATGACCGCCGAGATCGCCGCGGTCCGCGAGCAGATGGAGGCGCGGGCCCTGGCAAGCCGTCGCCGGTCTGCGCTCTGGACCTGGCTGAAGTGGATTGTGTGGGTGACCTTGCGGCAGATCATCTTCGATCTGGCAATCTTGGGCATGGTCCTGATCTGGATGCGGATCAAGGGCGACCGACGCCTTGAGGAGAAGCTCAAGGTCGGGTGGTCCGAGGTGAAGACTCGACTGGCCAAACTCAAGTCCCTGCGACGGTTTCCCGGACTAGATATGTTCTGATTATTCCGGACCGTCGCATACCCTTCCTTTTCTCTAGTACATATTGTGTTTGCAATTTCTTAGGATTCCATCATCATGGGCTTTCATCCTGTCAGGCGTGTCTCTCCTTCGTTGGTCCTTTTCCCTTCTTGTATCATTGATGGTTGGATATTCTACACATACAGGGACTTCCTTCAGCAGGTCGATGGCTTGAAGTACGCATGCATCTGAGGGGTTTACTGTATTCTAATGCATACTAGACGCATCATTATGTAGCATCAACCTGGAGTGCTTCAGACAAGCCCTAGTCCTGAAAATCGATTATTGCCCCGTAAAAACGACGTGATAGAAACAATTGTCATTCCTGATGCTAATATATACACAGACAAGCCTTTCGATCAGAAACACCGAGATTCCACGACAGAAAGCGAACGAGGAGTGGGAATTAGGAAAAGACATAGATACCCTAATATTGAGGACCGGGGAACTGGGCATACAGCTGCTTGGGTCGCAGATGTACGGGGGTCTGGCCCTCAGGGGCTCCAGGGATGGTCTTCTTGAGGCCCTGTCTATTGTCAGCAAAGTCCGAATACGCTGTCGAAAATTGAGCGGAGAACGCGGACATACCAGCTTCTCAAAAACGCAGTTGTTGAGCTCCATCTCGGGCTTCCGGCACTCCCATAGGTTCTGATTGTTGTTCTCGAGACATTCCCAGTGAGCGTTGAACTGCTTCAAGCAGTGGGTGTTGATGTCCTTGATCCTGTGCCACGATATGCCTCGATTAGCCTCGGCCCGACTATTGCACGACCAGCGTAGAATCTGAACGCAAGCACGATCAAGAAACGACAAGAGAAAACGTACACACTCGCCGCACAGCGGGTGACCTTCCGACCCTCCTTCAGACACTCCATCTCCCCCCGGCCATTCGCCTCGGCCTTGCACTTCATGAAATCGTCATTGAAGGCCTTGCAGCGGTCGCCGATGAAATAGGATGCGCTCAGCAGCGGCGCGGACGTCGCTCCAACCTCCTCCACCTTGGGGATGTCGCTGGGCATCGGGGTGGTGTCCACGAGGACATGTTGGTTGAACCTGGGTGCTGGTTAGTTCTCTCGTCGGGGCTTGCGGGGAAGGGCGTGGAGGGTTCAATTGGAGGCAGGTTCGAGCGAGGAACATACTGGGGCTCTCTCCGGGACATCTTGACGGGCTGCCTGGCTGGGGGATTTGCTCAATTACAGAGAGACGGGCGGGATTTCGTGAATGGAGTGACCGGTTCAGAACGGACGGAGCTGCGAGTTTGGAAGGGTCGGTTTTTGCGTGTCTCTGATTGGCTGCAGTGAAGATTATGTAAGGTGATGCCGTTGTCTGCGGATTTCAGATGCTACAATGCAATGGCCTAGGTGCCTAGGTAACCAGGTATTAATGTGTTGTTGATGGAGCTCAATGGTATCAGCCATCTAGTATTGTCAATAGCATGTGACTTAATCAATAATCTCAGCTTGCAATTGCTCGCATTGAACAAAGTGTTGTCCATTCGCATTGTGCCTGGTCAGTATAAATCACGTGATATAACCGCGAAAAACAAAGCAGCTCCCAGTGAAGTTGACAAGCTCCAGCTGCTGCTGTCTTTATACACACCGACTTCATTTACCGGCCACTTCTCTTTCCGTATGATGAGGTGCTAAAAGGCTATCCTTGGTTGAATCCTATATTGAACGCAAAGCAGGCCCGGCGATCCCTCGCTTGTCAGAACCTTCTTAACCCACTTCAGTGTAACCGTTGCTGGAGCTTCGAATCGCATAAATTCCGCCCGCCTTCGCGCTCAATCGCGTTACTTAGTGTTTGCACCGCGCTTCCGCTTAATCCCTTCGACATGTCTCTCTTCGGAGGGCAAACTCAGTCAGGTGGTGGACTGTTTGGGTCCGCTACCGCAAATAAACCCAGTCCCTTTGGCGGGTTCGGTTCGAGCACGACAGGAACACAACAGAGCACCGGTGGTGGCTTATTTGGATCGCCACAAACCCAACAGAGCGCTACAGGAGGTGGCCTTTTTGGATCCAATGCGACATCGCAGCCGCAGCAACAGCAGCAGCAGACTGGTGGCCCTTTTGGGTCCTCGACGACAACCCAGACTCAGCCGCAGACAGGTGGAGGCTTGTTCGGATCCACAACGCAGCAGAAACCCCAGACAGGTGGTCTCTTTGGCGGTGCTTTAGGCCAAACACAACAACAGCAGCAGACGACGACTGGCGGTGGAGGATTGTTTGGGTCAACACTTGGGCAGCAAAAGCCACAGGGGAGCAGCCTGTTTGGGGGATTGGGACAGCAGCAACAGCAACAGACTCCGCAACAGGGAGGCGGGCTATTTGGAGGCCTTGGAGCTACTACACAACAACAGCAACAACCTCAGCAGCAGAGTCTGTTCGGTGGATCCGCCCTTGGAGGTCAACAGCAGCCTCAATTGGGACAAACCACAACACAGCAGCCGGGCTCTAGCCTGTGGTCACCAGGTCGCGCTGTTACAGGAGGTTCGTTTTGATGGTCGGATTGTGCAGACTTAAGTACCAGGCTAACTTTCACAACAGTACATCGAACTGTACCCATGCAAATAGAAATCGTCAAGAACAAATGGGACACGGGTAGTCGCGCGTCGCCGTTCAGAACTTATCTATACAATCACGTCGGGGATCAAGCTCCCTTCTACCAGCCTACCGCGGAGGACGACGAGACGAAATGGGAAGAGGCTCTACGCGAAAGACCCGGCTCGGGATATGTGCCGGTGTTGGTGAGAGGGTTTTGGGAGCTCGGCAAGCGAGCGCAGCGACAAAAGGATTTCCTCACAATGGCGCAGACCCGCCTCCATGAGATTAACAATTGTCTCACCGACCTGCTGTCTCGTCATGACCTGAAGATATCCGTCAAGATCGCCGACTGTCGCCGAAAACATTTAGTTCTAAGCAAGCGCTGTCTCGCTTTGGCGGCAAAAACTCAAGTTCTCAGGAACCGAGGCTACGCAATGGATGAGGCAGAAGAAGAGCTTAAGAAGAAGCTCGCACAGCTGGAGCGGTCTGTCTTTAATCCCTCGCTCAACGGGCGGGCCGAGGAAATCTGGGCCCGCATGCTGGCGATCCGGGAACACTCGAAACGCTTGCAGGCGGAGATGGAGAAGGCAGGCGCTTCAACGGCTGCTCAGGGTGAAGATGAACTGGATGAGAATACCATGAAGACTGCAAAGAAGGTTTGTCTACTCTTTCGGATCATACTGCTTCAAGCGTCCGTATGGTCAATTTGCTAATTCTTCCCAGATCTTGGATGATTATCACGCTCAAATCACACATCTGCAAAAGGAATTGGAATCCGTCAAAAAGGATTTTGAAGAGGCGCAAAAGCTTCAGGGACCGGCGGATCATTGAGATAGATAGGTCAACGTAATCAAGCGAGCAATGTTATATTTGGCACATGTGTTTCGTACTCTGATTCTACTGCTGGTTGTATGTCATGAAGCAACCGATTTTATATGGAGCCGATATCATGCATCAATCTCAGTCTGGCCCTCATCTACATGATCCTAACCAATGCGGTTGAAGACGCTACATCAGGAGCTTTCACTTTTTTCCGGTTTAATTTTCTTTATACCCGGTAAACCCAAAAAATACCCATGTACAATAGTAATACATTATGCGTGGAATTCAAGCAAGTCTCTAATTCCCGCCATAGTCATCGCCATAACGGGTTGAACAAGCTATCAAACGACATGGAGAACCCGATATTTAGAGGAACTTCTTGACGAAATCGACGGCGAAGGGAGCTGATACATTAACCGGTTAGCTCCTGCGGCACCTTCGGATAGGAGACATATTCCTGAGCACTCACAGAGGTAGAGAAGGATACCGCCGGTGATAGCAGCCCGGACAGTCTGGCTGGCCTGAGCCTCAGCAGCCTGTGAAGAGTTGCTGTTAGCATTTATAGATGCGGCAATAATGTACAGGATGAGGTCGTCTCAGCGAGCAATGCGCATTACAGCGCACGAGCGAGGTTCGAGGAGGATAAGAGGGGGATTTACTCTAAGCTCCTCCTTGGAAACCTGTTCTTGACCTGGAGACAGAAAGTTAGCTAACTGTACAAAGCTGGGCAGAACTCGAGGTGGCAGATGATTTCGGTTCGTAAAACTGTGGTGATTGACTTACCGGGAGCAAACATTCTGATCTGAGTCTTTTCTGTATGAAAGGAACTATTCTGACAGAAAGAGTGGTGTACTTGTATCCGGAGTCAGAAGAATCGATATCCACCTGCAGAGTCGAAATGCGGACGCACGGACCACGTAGCGGAGGCGGAATTTCTACTGTTGCTCTTTCTGCTGCGACGTCTCCCAAGGACAGTAATACCAGCCTCCGGATCTTTCACTGCCTCTTCTCTCATCTACATATTCTGTTGCATCTGCTCATTGAGCGTTGTTCTTTGAATCTACGTTCTCGAGGCTTGTTTCCGTTACTGCTCCGTTACTTCGCCCTCACAACCGAAGGAATCGTGGTTAAGAGCGGAGCCGCATCAGGCGCTCCGATACCTCCTGTGGTATCATCACATCAACACAACTCAGTCTACGATCATCAACGATAACATACAACATGTCTGACAGCCCAGAAATGAAGCCCGCGTCACCGACTGATGTCGTCGCCGACCACGAGCCCCAGACAGACCTGCCTGAGGAACCGGTGAAGGCCCCGACTCCTGGCGGTGACGAGGACCTCAACGAGGACCGCGACGAGGAAGCACATGAAGAGGGAGCAGCATCAGCGACACCAGCGGCAGATTCAGCAGCCGAAACCCACGAAGACGATGCGGCCGACAAAGAGGACGCGGGGGTCGATTCCGACGAGGAGTCTATTCTGTCTGAAGTGGATGAGGCGCAGTTCGAGGACTTTGATCCTGAAAATGTCGACATTGAAGATCGCCCACAGCTCGCGATCGATGAGGATAACCTCAAGTTGATCGGTCGTCACAAGCGCAAGCGGACGGAGGAAGATGCTCAACAAGTGAAGCGGAAGAGGGAAAGGCGCAGAGAGAAGAGGAACCGTCGGAGGGATATGGAAGAAGGTGCTGACGAGAGCGAGGATAAGTCCCGTCGCAGAGATCGAAAGAAGAGAGACGCCACTCCTGACGATGAGGAGCTGCTGGACCCTGCTACGCGTATGTCGCCTTTGGTAACTTGACGGGTAAAACAAAGACTAACACTATGGACGAACAGGTCGTCGCCGAGCTCTCGACCGTGCTATGGATGAAGCTTTGAAGAAACCCACGAAGAGACGCTTCCGGAAGGCAGACGGCATTGTATGTTTATACTTCTCGAACTTACCAGTTCAGGATAGGGTAGCTAACTGGGTACGCAGGATCTGGAGCAAATGGCCGATGCTGAAATTGAGGACATGCGCAAGCGAATGACACATGCTGCCCAGATGGATGCCAACAATCGACGCGAAGGCCGTCCCGCCATGCACAAGTTGAAGATGTTGCCCGAGGTCGTCTCGCTCCTTAACCGTAACCAATACGTCAACAGTCTCGTCGATCCTGAAATCAACCTCCTTGAAGCCGTCAAATTCTTCCTTGAACCTCTCGATGATGGATCGCTGCCGGCCTACAACATCCAACGCGACTTGATGACCGCATTGGGCAAACTCCCCATCAACAAGGAGACATTGATCGCTAGTGGAATTGGCAAGGTGATCGTGTTTTATACCAGGAGCAAGCGTCCCGAGCCTAGCATCAAACGTATGGCTGAGCGGCTGCTCGCCGAATGGACTCGTCCCATCTTACAGCGGAGCGACGACTACTCGAAGCGGGTCTACCAGGAGGCTGAATATGATCCCAGGTATGCCATCTTCTGTTCTTGTTCGTAATAATTGCGGTCCCTATGCTCACAAGTACTACAGGAAACTCACCACACGTACCACATCTGCTCAGGCGAGCGTTGCAGAAGCTCGTTCTCGAGAACTTCTTCCTCCCCGGTTGGCGAACCGTGCCCGTGCCGAGATTACCCATACCAGTTACACTATTGTTCCCCGCCCGACTGTTGTGCAGGAGAGCAAGTTTGCACGTCCATTAGGAGCCAGCGGAGAGGATCGATTCCGGAGAATGCGGGCCCGACAGATTGCTGCGTCGAAGGGATCGCGACGCTAAACTCGGAAGCAGATCCGTTGGCATCTCAGCTTTCTATTTTTCTCTTGTGTCTGCTCTGGTCATTTTATTGTAATCCCAGGACGAGCGTGGGACGGTCGGAACAACCGAATTATCTTTCTCTGACAACATTTTCTACTTTTCTGGTCACCTGGTTTTTATTTTCGCGAACGGCGCCTTCGGAATGATTAGTTATTGTTAACTTATTCTACTTTTTGTGTACTAGACAAGTCCTTGGGCGGTGCCGGGTTCATAGGAAACACAATCATGCCCATTAGGAGTTGGAGCAAAACAGAGCTTTTCATTGGTCATGGAACCCGATTAGCAGATTCAATTCTCGTGTGTCTCGTGCGAGAAGACAAACTACTTGTAAGTGTTAATAATCAGCAACCGCCGAGAAGCCTGAAGGCATTCCCGAGCAATCGCCGATCCGGCAGAGAAGCAGATCCCGCCCGCCCATCGACATTTATCGTACGTCACCCGGCCTATGCTGCTCGGCCTTTGTATTCGATCTGACCTCATTTTGCCCTCATCCGAATTTTTCCCTGTCTTGAGTGGTGGCTCTTCTATATACTTTTCTCTCAGTCCATCCTCGCTCAAATCCTACAATTGATACATATAACTATCATTGACTTCACTATCTGACATACCTACCGTTCACAACTAAAATTCTGATACCGTCACCATGAAGATTCTCAGCAAGGAAGAAGAAGAAGCTCACTACAGGTACGTACACCCAATATCCTTCTAGGCGATCGCCTACTCACCCTAAATTGAACCATTACTGACCAACCACATCAGAGAGGTCCTCAAGGGCGGCACACTCGGCGGCGTGGTCGGTCTCGTCGGCGGTGTCGCAGGCGTGATGGCCGCCTCGCGACGCTACGCCACCATCCGCAACCTCACCCTCCCCATGAAATCCTTCCTGGTGACCTCCTCCGGAACCTTCTTCGGCATCATCGCCGCCGACCACGCCTCGCGCTCCTTCGAAGCCTCCCGCAACGTCGAACGGCAATGGTACGAGACCCGCGAGGAGCGCCTCCGCCAGGAGGAGCTGGCGGGGATGAGCTTCGTCGACCGCGTGACGGCCTTTGCGCGGCGCGAGAAGTACAAGATCGTCGGCGCCACGTGGGTCGCCAGCATGATCGGCTCGTTTGCCATGGTCAGCCGGAACCCGTACCTGACCGGTTCGCAGAAGATCGTGCAGGCGCGTGTGTATGCGCAGGGCTTGACGCTTGCTGTGCTGGTTGCGTCGGCGGCGTTTGAGATCTCGGATCAGCGGAAGGGGAGGGGTTTGCTTGAGGCTGCGAAGAAGGGGAAGAAGGCCGCGGGGGAGAAGGAGGCGGCTCCTACGCCTACCCCGGCTGTGGCGCATGATCCGCAGAGCGGCGACCTGTGGAAGGATATGGTTGCTGCTGAGGAGGAGCGGTTGAAGCAGAAGCATCAGCCGCTGTATGAGAAGCCCCATGAGCATCAACATGATGTGAGTGCGCAGTCTGCACCGGCGCCGACAGAAGAGAAGAAGGAGGAGGAGGAGAAGAAGAAGAAGTGAAGTGAATTGTGTCTTGTGGATTTCTTTTTGGTGAAGCTACTTGGAGCGTGGGGTCTTTGTCGTCTTAACTCATTAGACTTCCTGTCCTGCTTTGTTATCTTCTTTGCATCTTGTGTCGGGATATGGCGTCTAGATTTTTCAAAACTTTCCATGTTTGATACATGGCCGTGTATAATGGTGATGTACAGTATATGTTCAATCAATCTCATCTCTTTCGGTCTTTTCTTGTGTCTTCTTCATTTTTCATCGATGTTCCGGCTACGAATGATGTTCAACTCAAAATGACAATGTACTGTGCAATCGAGTGTTCCACATAGAAAAGTTCATTACATTTCATTATTTCGCATGTCCTGCATACCTCGTAGGTGTACATACCAGGTTTGGTAGTACATTAGAAAAAGCCCTAACTCCACACTAGCATTCCTCCCTTCAATCAAACTCCGTAAGGCAAGTAGCATCTACGGCTCCGGGTCAATCTTCTCATTTCGAGCACCCGGGTTGCTACCAAGGTACGCCGAGGCCTCGAGATTGTTGAGTCGGTCCTCATCCTTGTCCAGCGAATAGTGGGTCAAGTAGAAGAGGTTGCCAGCAACGAACGCCAGGACAGCCACGAATCCATAGTTCCAGATCAGGAGCGGGTCGGTGGACAACCCAGTAAGTCCTTGCTGGATAGCAGACGAGATGGCGTTCATGAAGAGGAAAATCGATTGGACTGTAACAACAATTTAGTGATGGAGCTGGTCACCGACACGGGTAACGACATACCTAAACTCTTCATGTTCCTGGGAGCCTTTGTGAATGCATACTCATAACCCGTGATAGAGGTGAAGATCTCCGAGAAAGCGATCAGGACATACGGCAGGGTCTGAACCCACACGTTGATTGGTGCCGGGCTGTCACAGGCACTGGGTTGGTCGCCACACGGGCTCATCTTGTAGATGTAGTATTGCGTGACGGCAGCCGCTATCATGGACATGGAGGCAAGGATGTAGCCGACATAGATCTTCTTGAGGGGGGTGAAGTTGAATCCCATCCTGCGGATACCGGGGTAGATGAACTGATCCATGATGGGAATGAAGATGATCAATGCGAGAGGGTCCAGGTTATTGATCAAGTCGTTAGGAACACCGTGCAGCTCCATCGTGGCTGCCTGCGAGGTCAAATTGTTGGTCATCTGCCCATAGGCCAACCCTATAATGTAGGTAAGTCCTGCGTTCTCGACGTTGATAATTTGAAGATACATACAGTAGACAGGGTACCAGAGAAAGACAGCACACGCTTTCACAGCTCTGCGTACTTCATCGACCCACTGGTCATCAAACGTCATCCACTCTGGCTTATTTTGAACCCTGCTAGGCTTCACTCTCTCCCAGAAGTCAGGAGACTGGCAATTCCGCACGCTACGAATGAACTGTCAGTACAAAGAGAGATCAACATGAAGTGAGGGTCACTGACAATCTCACGGGATTCCACGACCAGCGGCCCTTTAGAGCAAAAGCCCAGAGCTTGAATGCTTTCGCGGAAACCGAGCCAGTAGCGGGTGTGACCTCGTACTTGTTGCGGCATGCAAAGATCACAAGAGGGCAGAGCGCAAACAAGATGGTTGGAAGAAGGAATGCAAGCCAGAATCCCACGTATTTCTCGGCATACACCATGACGATTGAGCCAACTAAGGCGCCGACGTTGATCATGAAGTAGAAGTACAGGAAAATTCGAGTGACAGTTTGAGCAGGGTCCACAATGACACGCTCGCCTGTCTTGGGCATCACCTTGATGAAGGACCTTGTTTCCTTGTGCTGTTCAGCAATCAGAGGGGCAATGTTTGACCTGTTATATGTGTGTTAGCGCATTCTCTCACGTCTACAACAAGGCGACGGGTATCTGTACTTGAAACCTCCCACACCAACTCCAAAGATGACCAGACCGACAGCGAAGCATCCCAGAGCGCCATGCGGATGCGCGATAACAGATGGCAAGGCGGATATAATCAGGATGACGTGTCCAACCATTGCGAAGGCGATTGAGACCTGAATCGTCTTCAGCCGTCCCCAGAACTCGTCGGCAATGTAAGCACCCAGAATAGGCATCAGGTAACACCAGAATGTGTTGACTATGGCAAGTGTCAGACATAGACTGATGGTAAAATGTTTAGAGGCAAGATACTCACAAGTTGTCAGACCAGTGGACGCTCTTTGACCCATGCCTAGGGCACCAGACTGTCCACTGTGACCGGCTCCAGTGCTCGAACCATCGGGGAGAGGCTGCTGAATGAAGTTGACGACTGGGATAAGGTGAGCTCTTCTCCATTAGGTAGAGTCTGACAAGGGCCCAATACGTACAGACAGCAGTGGTTCCATAGTAGGAGAAACGCTCGCAGAGTTCAACAAAGGCGATCGTGTACGCAGTCCAGTGAACCTTGCCAGCAACGCGACGGAGAGTGTGTTCTTCTTCTTCAGTGGGAATTTCGCGGCCTTGATCATCAAGTCTAGGGGCTGTTGCAACCACCGTAGTCTCGTGTTCTTTGACTGGGACGAGGTCCAGAGACTGCTTGGGGACGTGAGCCTGAGCCACGACCACCAAGTCTGCCGCGTCGACAGGATCACTCATGACTGCAGGTGGCTCATACAAGGCTCAAAAACCGTAGAGAGGAGGATGGAAAAAGTCGAGATGCAACGGAAAGGAAGGGGGGGAAGGTTCGCACGTGGAAGAAGAAAGAAAGCAAACACGCGCGGGGGAGGGTGAAGCATAAATAGGAGCAAGGTGGGAAGAGCAGAGACAAGCGTGGAGTGAGGGGAGGAGAAGAAGGGTATGCACAAAAATATCGCGCCAGTCCAGGTGTCTATCGCTGGTCAAGTACTCTATCGTCTTTCACCGTTTGGATGTCGCTCGAGAGCTAACCACTTCGACCGCTTGAACTCAACACTAATGGGCGTGTTCTTCGCCTCTTGACTGAGCTAATCGCACATTATTCCATTTGATTCCTCGCCCGATAGGAGAGTCATCGATGGGGCGGGCATTTCCAGACCGTCCTCGACTCTCTAGGTGGACTCGGGAGATATTGTGCAGGGTGGGGATTTCAACTGGCTATCACAAGGTTTGTGAGACTAGGTACGAATTGTTATCTGCCCCCTGTTGCTCATGTGGATGGGTTCTAGCGCTCATCTAGATAAATACACTCTAAATCTAATCCTTGAAACTCATGGCAGTGGTGGCACATGTTTTGGTAAGTTATTGGCCCTCGTGGTCTTCCGTCCGCCGCTTCCAGCACGAAAGAGGCTGACTATTGGATACGCATCGCGACCCTGGACGACCCTACGAAAACTCAATTGGATTTCGAGGACAGGAACAATTATTATTGACTGATACAAGGGGCTATCGTACCTTGTTAGTCCCTCCAAATGATTTCCTTCGCAACCAATCAACCGCATTGACGCAGGCCGCGAATAGGTGGAGTGACAGACATGGCACACGCCATTGCTTCATACGGCAAGAGTACCAAGCTTAGCCTTGGACTTGGACGCGCAGATGATAAACTTCCTCGCTCAGACTGGTACGTCTTCGCCGCAGACACAGGGAGAAGCACGCAAAGGCAGAGTGGCTAATTCTTTCCCCGCACAAGCCCTTAGTTTTCGCCGATCTGTCCTCGACAGTCGACACACAGGGACATTATTCGTTCTCGTCGCTAGTACACAGCATATTACCCTCCACATTCCAGTTCAGCGATTTGCTCTGCGCCGCATGTCTTTCGATATAGACTGGAAAGAGCTGAGTGATTGCATGACGGTCCAAGCGGATGCGGACAGCGAAGCTCTCCTAAGACGTTTCCATCTACACGCCAAAAAGGAAATGCGATACTGTGCCACCTCCAGGGGTCATAGGCCAGCAAACATGTCGTACCTTGCTCTTTTGGTGAGGTTACATTGTAGTCGAAACCTTCACGATAATGGCCTGTTCAGGTCTTTCTGACTGGTCCGCTTATAAACGGGGCAGTCTGCACCACCAGAACTAGCGAACAAGGTTGAATGGTGCATTCAAGGTTAATAATCATGGGTTGCAAATGGCAACCAATACAGAGTTCAACACGAATCCGAAGTTGGCAGCTGGCAATATCACACCACAGTTGGCACTGATAACGCCAAGTTAAGCGGCCAATAATAAGGTTTGCCGGCTTCAGGAGGCCCTGGCGGTCCGGCGGAGCTAGGTCGCAACGCGAAGCCTTTTCCAAGCCATCTGGCCCGTCTCGGCAGTGGAGCTTGCCCTTATCCAGCAGAGATTCCTTGTCTCCTTGGACCTTGACAGTCCTCGCAACCTCGGACAAGTCCGAGCCACGGCCCACGAGACTGCAATAAGCTTGTGGGAATGTGGGTCTTATCTCCCCACTCCCAGAATGAGACCATCCTCGCCCACGATATTCCTATCTTTCCAAGACCGGTTGCGATAACAGGTATTCGAGAATAGCCGATTGGGGAGATTTCAACTCTGGAGCCACGTGCGATCGGACGGGCGTCATATGCGACTGTTATCTATGGATGTAACAGATGATACCACACCTAGGAATATTGAACAACCGAGTACAATTATATAAGGCGGCAACTGTGTTGATGCGGAGACAACCCGTCCATGATAGGCGAGGATATATTACCGAATCGGCTACAGACGGGCACTATCCCTAACTGTCATTATTGAGTCAAAGATAGGTGCAAGCTTTTTTGAACATGGACTTGCGACTGATGCTATATCTATCGATCTGCCACATTGTTGTATTACCGGGAATAATAGTGGTAAGAAGATCCCATAATTTTTTGGGTTTTAGCAACCTCTCGGGCATAGCTTTCTCAAATACAGATTATTTTTTTTGGAGATTGGTTTATTGTATGAATGGACAAGCGATCCAGGGGCATCCATACCCTCGAGCATCAACTCCTGCTCCTTATCTTCCCAGGCATCTCGAATGATACCTTATGGCTTCATTGCGGACGGCACAACCACTTGGGGAGGCCCGTTCAAGGGATGGACTCTCTTCCAGGTCGTAACACCTTACCGATTTGGTCCATGTCATCCTTTCTACAGCAACTGCAATCTCGAATATGGCACGTATTCGCGGGCATATACTACTACTACTGCTGTAATCGCTGGTGGAACAGTGTACTCACCGGAAGTAAAAATCTTATATAGCGGAATATATGTGTATCATCAGAGTACACGCTTAATTTAGCTGATTCCAGCAATACACACTGAGAAGAGGTTACTCGATTCGACACTTAAAACTCCAGCTGGTTGTTCTATATAGTCACGTGACCCTGGTTTGCTTTTCCTCAATGCTGAAGGTACTCCGTACGTCCTACGACGCCATCGGAAGCACAACCCAACCAAGCTCCACATCGCTCCCTACTTGATGGTTTCATCATGGAGAATGGAGCTTGGCCTCCCTGCAGATTTATCGGAGTGGTTGTCTGTAATCTGCAGCGCTGAAGCTTCAGGATCACTTGCAGACAGAGCAGCCAAGAGTCTAAATTAGCAGCAAGACTCGTGCATAAGTGCCGTCTGTGTAACCAATAAGCCACGCTGCAAATATGGAGGCTGAGCAAAACCCTTCAGCCCCCGTTTCCGTCAAAGAAAACAGATGAGAGCTAAGGAGCTTAATGCGCCGTAACCTTATCTTCTCACAGATTTTAGTCGAGCAAATATGAGGAACAATGGTGGTAGCGACATCATCTCTCGCCCTTACTGATGAGGAGATCCACCAGTTGATGCACGCTGCTCAACGCGGTGACCTTATCCAGCTTAGATTGCTTCTTTATGGCGTATCCCCCAACATCACGGACAGCACGGGCCGAACCGCCTTCTCCTGGGCGGCTTCAGACGATTTAACCCAATCACAAGAGACATACAACAATCGCAACCTTGTGTTGCAATGCCTCCTCGATCGAGGGGCTAACCCCGATCTTGCAGATTACCATGGTGAAACCCCGCTTCATTGGGCTGTCAAAGCGGGCGACTACCTCATGGTGGATTTGCTCCTGCAAAAAAAGGTCGAATCGGACTTGCCAGACTCGCGAGGCCGCACGCCATTGTCGAGGGCGGCGGAGCGAGGTTATGATCGTGTGGTGGAGGTCTTGTTGACCAGGGGCGAAGCTGACGCGGACTATAAGGACGCGCGAGGTCGCACGCCGCTATCGTGGGCTGCGGAGAATTGGCATCTGGAGACAGCAAGCATTCTGGTGAATCATGGCGCTAGCGTGGACATCCACGATAGGGAGGGACAATTACCCTTGTGGTGGTTTATCAGTAACACAATCAAGCGAACAGCGATGGAGCAGCAGTATCAGTCCGGGAAAGGGGACTATCTCCAAAAATGGCTCACTCTACTGGGGCCCAAGCAGGGCGCCGAGCCTATGACGAAAGCTCGAAGAACATTTCTTTCCTGGGCCTGTGAGAAAGGCGATCAAGAACTTGTTGAGCATCTGTTGCAGACCGTCTGGGCTGACCCTAACTCCATCGACCGATATAGGAAGACACCCTTGATCTACGCGCTAGAATGGAACCACTACGAGATTGCAGACATGCTCATCTCTGGGGTTAAGGTGGGAACAACGTTAAAAAGGGACATTGTCTCCCTGCGCATTATGATCCAGGAAGGTCGGTCTCGTCTCCTCAAGCCCTTTCTTGAGAGATACAAGCCGAGCCTAGAAGAGGAGGACGAATACAACACAGTTCCTCTCATGAGGATAGCGCTGCAGCAGGCCGATCGGGCAACGGTAACAGTCCTCCTAGAGCACCAAGCCAGTATTCAAGGCCTCGAGAACGTGGACTGGTTCGGTCCTTGCAGCACCGTCAAGTCGTCGGCAGACTTGGTTTTCCTGAATAATGTGCGCACCGGACGCGGCCACAATGCGATCCCTTTGATGAATATGGCCATAGAGGAGGGTGACCGTGCGGCAGTGGCGGCGCTATTGGACCAACGTGAAGAAATCCTCAGGATTAAAGAACAAGAAAACGAGTACGACAGCGATCTCGGACAGCGCAGCAGGGAGGTCACTGCAGTGGCTGTCGACATTGCGGTCATTCGTGACGGAATCAAGACAGCACAGTGGATTATTGACGGTGCGTTGGAGAGGCATGTCAGGAACATGCCGAAGACGTCAGACGAAACTCATTTGATGTACGTTTGATCGCTTGGACCTCTTTCATTCGCGGTTCTGACCAGACAGACTCTTCCGTGAGAATCGTTTATGGAAAACTTACCTGCAGATAGGCCATTCGCCAAACGAGCTGAGGTTCTCTTTGGGGAACAAAAGCCCCTGCAGGACATTTACCTTGTCCATTCAAATGAATCTGACAATGTCTCATACATTTCCTGGCGGTCACAACGAGGGGAAATTCCCCAGCTATGAGAATGGTACCTTCCGAACAATTGAATGGGCTGTCCTCGAAGTCCCTCCGAAAGCCATACATTACTTCAGTAATCTGCCGTTCGGCTGGGTTCCCAAGAATGACTTGGAGTTCATTCGGCTATTCATGCAGACGTGGAGAGAAGACTGGATGAATTTCTGTCGAGACGCCAGAAGCGCTCTAAGCCGCCTTGTATGTATCTTCGTTAGTGTTCTTCATTCGATGAGCCGTCTAAAGAAACGACGCTGACAAGCTAGCGCTCCCACCAACTGACCGTTCGAGGCAAAGATGACCTCTTGATCGACGCAGTTGCCGAGAATATGCAGCAGTGGACCCGAATTCAAGGGGCGCTGGAGGAACAGCTCAGCCAGGCGCGTCACTTTGTCTCACAATATCAACGCTACAGCGAAACTCGTCGGTTCAGTGAGCAAATGCATCAGACCATCAACGCCGCGGAGCGAGACATCCAAAACCAAGTAGATAAACTAGAACAGACGATGCGAGATCTATTACAGATAGCAAGTTATATCAGCCTGTCACGTCCAGCATCAGAACTAACGCCTTGGTCTGGGTAGGAGTTCGCCTGGGTCTCTATCAACGAAGCGCATCGGTCAACCAGCTTGGCAACGAGTCTGAAGCGGATCAGCTGGATTACTGTACGTGTGGCCAAGCAACTGGCCCTCCTGTGTTCTATTTATTGACTGGTGATAGTTTGTCTTTCTCCCTCTTATGTTCGCATCCGTAAGTTATCAGACATTGCCCCGCTGTAGCTGTCTAATCCTCGCAGAGCCTCTTCGGAATGAACGTGGATCTACTGAAAGACGATCCGCCCTGGAGATGGTACCCGCTCGTTGGGGGGATATTGTTACTCTTGACGGTCATTGCATGGCTGTTGTCCAAGTTCACCAACGTAGGAATCTGTTGTCCCACACTGAGCATACAGACTGCTGATGAACTCCAGATTGAAATGTGGGCTGAACGCAGAGCGGAACTGATAATGAAAAGGGCCAGACGACGACCAGTCGAGAAGGACTTGTATCTGCTATGATCAGCAGTTTCCACTAGTCAAAACAACCTAGCTATATGGTGAAATGTCAAGATAATGACAAATTTGCTTGATTTGTAATTATCGATAAGAGGTATGTAAATCAAGGAAAGTTCTGGAGACAATTGTTCGTCTTGGCTGTATCCTGCAGAGGCTGTGATGTCATGTTGATGTTAATCAAGCAGGCCCTGGGATCAACGGCGAAAGGATGCAAATCCCGAGCCAATTTCTGAAATAGATTTTTAAGCAATACGGTTTTGGCTGTGATTGCGCTGTATATATAGTATGGGCCAATGTAGGGCAATCCTCGGTGTAAATATTGCCAAATAAATTACCACACTTGGTCAACTTATCAACGCTGTAATCCTACAATCTTTCTACTGCGGACAGACCAAGATGGCTTCTAGATACCACTCAGCTCCCGTCGATGTCGCCCCCTTGGGCAAGCCATTACATTTCCCCATTAGCAAGCGCACGGCGCCCAACCGGTTCTACAAAGCCGCCATGACCGAGCGGATGTCCTCCTGGTCACCCACCGATCTCAAAGCGCGAGGTGTCCCGAGTCGGGAGTTGATCAATCTCTACAAGCGATGGGGTGAAGGAGGTTACGGACTCATCTCTACTGGCAACATCATGATCGCTTACGACCAGCTGGAAGCCCCTGGCAACCCCATCATCGACCTGGAGAATCCCTTCCACGGGGAACGCTTCGACGCCTTCCGCGAGCTGGCCTCGCAGGCCAAGAAACACGGCAGCCTGGTCATCGGCCAGGTCAGTCATCCGGGCCGGCAAACTGAGGAAAGGCTTCAGCCCAACCCTGTCTCCGCAAGCGATGTTCAGCTCGAGAAGGAGCTCATGGGGATGCGATTCGCAAAGCCGCACGCTGCATCCAAGGATGAGATCCAGGACTTCATCCGGCGGTGGACTCATGCCGCAGTGTACCTGTACAAGGCTGGTTATGATGGTATCCAGTTGCATGGCGCGCATGGGTACCTCCTCGCACAGTTCCTGTCGCAGACGACGAATCGCCGCACCGATGAGTATGGCGGCAGTCTGGAAAACCGCGCGCGGTTGATCGTGGAGATCGCCCAGTCTATTCGGAAGGAGCTACCTGCGTCGACTGGTTTCATCTTGGGCATCAAGATCAATTCGGTTGAGTTCCAAGCTGGAGGCTTCACCGCGGAAGAAGCGCGTGACCTGTGCCGGATCTTGGAGGAGAATGAGTTTGATTTTGTCGAGTTGTCGGGAGGCACGTATGAGTCTCTTGCGTTCAGCCACAAGAGGGAGTCCACCAAGCAGCGGGAGTCGTTCTTTTTGGAATTCGCATCCCTGATTACGCCGGTTCTGGGCAAGACGAAGAGCTACGTGACCGGTGGCTTGCGTACGGCGTCCGGTATGGTGGGCGCCTTGGAGACGGTGGATGGCGTTGGACTCGCTCGACCTGCGTGCCAGGAGATCCGTTTGCCACGCGACATCCTGGATGGCAAGGTGACAGGAGCGATCGAACCGAAGATTGATCAGCAGGATTTCGGAGTCACCAGCGTTGCGGCGGGAACGCAAATGAAGCAAGTGGGCAAGGATGAGCAGCCAATCGACTTGAGCGATGAGAAGAACGTGGAAATGTTCATGAAGCACGTTGGTGAATGGGGTCAGAAGATGCAGCAGGATGCAGCTACTATGAACCTGTACGGCTATGTCGATTTACCCAAGGGTGAAGCATATAGAGGATAGACTAGTTTCCAAGGTTACAGACTGTCAAACAGCAAACCATATCTCCCACCCAGCCTGAGGCACCAAAGAATAAGCGAGCCAACTCCGCTAGCGTCGCACGGACCACCACGCCTCTGATATAAATACTCCTTCCACCCCCCGTCTCTTTAGACTTTTTCTTCTTTTCTTCTCCAGCTCTCTTTGCCTTTTGGCTTAGATCAAGTGTAGTATCTGTTCTTTTCAGTTTAATCTCTGAAAGTGTTCTAAGGAACACAACATTGATTAATCCCATTTTTGGACCCCGTGGCGAGGCCTCTGTGCTTGCGCATGCCTTGCCACACAGTGTCATTGGGCTTACACTACCCCCAATAGACGCGACCCTTTTCATCAATACGGCCGGCTTGTCCGACTGGTTGGAGAAGAGGTTTTCTAGCGAGTGCAGAGGACAATGGTAGACTTTGTCGTCCCAGCTACTGGGTAAAGTACGATAAGAGTATACATGCAATGGGATGGCCTTGATGTAACTATTTATTAAACTTTAATACATGCCTGGGAGCTTTCTGCGGTTCTTGACTTATTCCTTCTCAGGAATGGACGAAGGCCAGGCTATATAAGGGAAGGATGAGTTCTATCCGTACTTGTAATATTATCCTCTGCGATGCATGGCCATACAAGTTACTAGAGGGCTGCGCCAGCAGGATACAGTCATGCTTACTAGCATTATTTGTCAAGACTTTTTGGTGCACCGGCTCTTTAAGGTGTTTCTCTACCGACAGGCACCTAATGTAAAGGACCCACTGGTCAGGGTAGATAAGCCTGGATTGGCAAGGGAAATTATCGATTCAATAGATCAGTAAGATACAATACCCTGAGAGTGATCCTTATGGATCTGTAAACTAAAACATCTAGCTCGTAAGGATTAGTAGACTGAGACATCTAAACCTTCAGCTTATGGATTTGTGACTAAGACACAAGTGTAAGACTCCTTGTTGTGTCCCTGCTGTGTTGCCCCTACTACTACTATCCCTACTAGCTAGAGATGGTTGTCTGGACGCCTTTTTGGCTGAGTGGTTAGATGTATGACACTCCTTATTATGTGCTACGGCGGATAACAATTGTACATATGACCCAGTGAAGAGATCCTCAATGGATTATTAATAGGTGATCTCTAGCTGCTCACCAATTGCAATGCAAGTACTGTCTGTAGAGGATGGATTGGCACTGATGAAATGGATCAGCCTGCCTTGCGTTGAGTTTTGCAAGTGAGCTTTATCTAGTGATTGAAACATGATATCTTCTTTATGGAAGTGTGATGTAGCACTAGAGTCAGATCTCATCTTAGCTCTTGAGATGTCACGCAGCTGGGCCTGGTCGTGCATATGTATAGTATCTGGGAGTTGCCGTGTATAAGCCAATGTCATGTCTGATTCCCGTCAGCTCAAGTCTAGTCTATATAACATGAATAAATATCTAGTAAGCCAGAAGAAATAACAACATCACCGCCCAAATTACAACTATTAACGCTGCCACTCTTCGTGCAGCTTCGTATCCATCGTCGAATATCCTTCTATGACTTTCAACCCACGCAGCCGTTCCTGCTCAATCCGCTCCCATGTCCACTCGTTTGAGTCCCACGACGCAGAGTTGCTCTTCTTTTCCGCCTCCAGCGACTTCGGTTCCGGCATGTCCTCCTCCCGTAACTTAAGCACTTCCCTCACTAAAGACCCGTCTACACCCGAAGCACTAGCCGTGAGACCCTCTCCATTGACCGGTGTCCCCACGCCCGATGCCTCAGTCGAGGCAGTCACCTCGGGCGCGGCAGAGCCCTCCGGCCGCGGAGGCAAAAAGCCACTGGCCCGCAGGACTCTCTCCGGCGGCACGGTCACCCGTCCCTTCTTGACGACGTACTTGCTCAGCGCAGTCGCGAAGAGTGTCTTCTCGCCGCCTTTCCGGCTCGCGGGCCGGAAAAAGAATGTCATAACGTACATCCACTTCTGGTCCCAGGCGATAACCTTGGTCTCCATCTCGTACAACTCAAAGGGCTTGATCTCGCGCTTGAAACTACAGTAGACCGAGCCCAGGGCCACATAGATGGCTTTGCGCTTGGGTGGCTTTATGCCGTCCCGATGACTGGCTTTGAGGAGCTCCGCGTCGAGTTCCTTACTCACGATTGAAGCTCCGGGGCTGTATAGACGGGTGACGAGGGCCGTGCGGGCCACGTCCAGGTCGGAAAAGTACGTGCTATTGGACTTGTGCCGGTTGTAATCCGTCTCCAGGATTGGAGCCCGGGATGAGATGCCGTACGACACGAATACCGGATGCGTCGGCTTCCCGCTGTGAGTGACTAGGGGTGTCCCCTTGGGAAAATAGGGATCCTGGACACGCCATCGGATGTTTCCCCAGAAGTGATATAGAATACGGGCCTACTTGGATCAGACCGACTCTCCAATAAGGTCAAGAGTAATCCGGAGTACTTACGTGCCAAATAAGAGGCATGTTCTTCAAGTTAATGATTGCTAACAGCAGGGCTAGCGCCTTCCATGAGATTAGGGGTGAGATGGCTGAGAGCAGCTCGCGCACGCTTTCGAGGCGCAACGATGACAGCGCATTCGCCATGATGGGGTTTAATGAAGCAACCAAGTAGAATCAATTATAACAGAATTATCTTCGAAGGAAATTAGCTGGTGAGAGTGTATTAGATATAGAATTAAGGGAATGACCGGAACCCGGATCGGTCGAGTAAGATCAAGGGGATATAATCAATGCCAGATTGATTAGAGTACGCGTTCAGGGAGACGGAGCCGAAGGAGTGACTATCATTATGCAACATATTAAAATGAGTGCAAAATACGTCTTACGGATCTGCGGAAACTCGAGGAGCGACGGTGACTTTGTTGAATTGACCAAAGTGTTGGGAGCCGAGGTGTCGATAACAATCACGTGGGATGATAACATTCTGAGAGAGATAAGCTGTACAATGGTATTTGTGCACAGCATGAACCTGCTTCAGAACAGTATTATTGGACGCCTAAGGTAAAAATTAGATATCCAGATGCTCCAATGCCAATGCATCAGAAAATCGCCATGCAATTAGGGGGACTCGAAACACCCCGAGCACAGTTCAACGGACTACTCGACACGAAGAACGTCCACCGACCCAACCTCTTACACGTCTCGGCCAAATCCTCCAAGTCAAACATCTCGCCTATCGGAATTCCCCACCCAGCCAGCAGATGATGATGTAGATCATACTCAGGATTCAAAGGCGGATACACCTCGAAGCTGACCGCATCCGAAGCCACAGCCGCGAAGTGGTTGTCCCACAGAAAGCGCAGCACACGCTCACTCTGCTCGATCCCCGCGTGCTTGGGCGTGGACTGCAGGCTATACTGCTTCTTCTGCTGTGCGTCCATCGTATCCCACGTTCCGGTTAAACCAACGCGAAGGAAGAAGATATCGCCTTTCTTGAACTCGATCTTGCATTCACGCGCGATGGCCAGCACATCGTCTAACGATACGACATGCTGGCTCAGCGCGTTAACACTAATCCCCCTCTTCTCCGCCCAGGACAGGTAATCAATGAGTACCCCGCGGCCTGCGATGCCTTTCTTCGCCCAGTACCCAATTCCAATGCGATTGCAGTTTGGATCCTGAATCTCCTCTGCGGTTGTGCCGCCGTAGAACAGCTTCCGGTCCGCATTTTCGGAGGTTGGCGCAGGAGCGTTGTGATGCCGGAATCCGTCCCATTGAGAGGATTGCTGCGGGTTAAAATGGTACTCGTCATCGAAAGCGGCACCTGGAGCGACCCATTGAACCTTGTGTTCGAACGCTTTGCGGCCGAATCCTGGCAAATACGTAAGTAAACAAGATCCGTCGTCAGAACTGAACGACAGACGGCATGGATCTGTACATGTCCATGGTCGTGCGAGGGAGATCTCTAGCACATACCAGGAGGATCCAGCTTTTCTAAATCCCAGTTCAGGCAAACGCGCTCTCCCGTCTGGATCTGTGTCCGCGCAGCGTCGGCCACAATCTCCGGCGTCAAGAGCCGGAGCATTCCCAATCCTTCCTCTGCGGATCCTGCTGCTGCTGGCCAGAACCGTCGCTTGTCAGGAAGATCATCGTATTTTTCGGGTAGGTCGCTGATTCCTGACATGGCGCGTTGAAGTAGCGGAGCTCAGACCAACGTTGTATAGATAGATGTGCGGGGTTGACTTCCGAGAGGGCAAGTACAGTAATTGCCTAATATTTAGACTTGCTTATTCGGACAAAAGGTTATTGAAAGAGAAGATTGTTGAGTCTTGTTGGATGGACTTCAACACTTCAGCATGAGTCAAGGAAAGCAATAAAGCAAGAACCTGGCATTGGTAGTGAGTCTGGAACATAGCTACGGTGGAGTAGTGTCGGAGCAACTCCGCTCTGACGGAGGTGCGATCATTCCCCACAACTGCCGATTATCGTACGAGCGGTCAATGACTATGCCTGCCCCTAAGAACTGGATATACTAGCTCGAAGATGCATGAGAATCGAAAGTTCAACGAAGGAAAACAGCTGTCATTAACCGGACCCTCATGATGTCCCTGGGTAATTATGTATTCGAACAGAAACCCAACCCTAACGACAAATACACTCTAAGTCTACAGAATATCATCTTCAAAGGTCGTCCATGTCCTCATCGGCTGACGTTCTTGCCTTGCCCTTCTTACTTAGATCGGACAACTCGTATTGCTCGCTAGAGCGCCCCGAACCAGCCGACATCGCGATGGCCTGCCGCCCGGTATCGGAAGACTCAAGAAACTCGCGCAGTCGCTTCTTGCCCTCCATCAGCGCCTGGCTCGAAGCGGCTTCAGTCATCTTGATGATCGGGCCCCAGAGGTTCAGCTGATAAGTGACATAGGCGCCCACGGCACAGACAAACAGGAGGAAGAAATAGGCCGGATTACGAAGCACTAAAAGAATTGTCAACCCATCAGCCCAACTGATTTCGTTTGGAAGTTCCACTATAGAAAACTTACCTGCGATGATCTCGTTCCATCCAAGGGCAAGGAGAAGACCGTAGAAGTACAAGGGTACCTGAGTCATGCCGCCAATAGCACTTCTCTTAGCCTCGACATAAACTCCGTCTGCGGCTTTCTTGAATCTGACAGTGAGCTCTTGACGCTTAGCCTCACTGAGAATCGTCATCTCTTCGTCCAAGCTCTTGCCCTCTTCCTCATCGACACCGCCGATGGGCGGTAAATCTTCCTCATCTGCCGGAGTGGCAGAGCTTGGAGTGTGGCCTATCCAGCGATCAAGAGGGGGCGGGGACGACGTCTCTGCCAGGCGGAAGCGCGAAAGAAGGGGGATCAAAGTCAGGGTTGATTCGCGTGCGCGGGTATAGATGCCTTCAATATCATCGGTTGGTCGCCAGATCCTGGGTACCCCAGCATCATCATAACGGAATTTGTCCTCAAAGTTCTCACGCAGTTTCAGCAAAAGATTGCCCTCCGTCATCTCTTCATCGATCTTGGCGCGCAAGACACCCCAGGACTTCCTCCGGAGCCTCCAGAGACCGACATCCACTTCCTCCAAACTGGCATCAAAGCTGCTGGCGCGGTCCGTGAACCTACGCTCGGCATCAAGCACCGTCTCCACGAAAACGTTCCACACACGATCCCAGAAAGCCTTCTCAAGAGGCCTCTCGCCTGTTTCCGGAGCACCTCCTCCTGCGCGTCCAGATCCCAAAGCGTTGAACTCAAGCCCGATCGACTCTCCCAGACGTGACTGAACCCATCTTTCAACGCGATTGGCCAAGCGACGCATCTCCTCTCTGCGTAATCTTCCGCTAACTTCCGCTAGTTCCTTTTCATACAAGGCCATTTCTTGCTTATAGTCACTCCAAGTGGTGCCTTCCACCACAGTTGAGCGCGCCACATCTTCAAACTTGGCCATGGCTTTCTTCGCCTCTTCATTGACAATTTCAGCAAAGTCGTAACCAGTACCCTGCTTTTGGCCTGACTTCACAGCGGAGGAGACTGCCTCACTGAATTCGTTGATACCCGACTTGTGTGCGGCGTTAAGTTGACCTTGTAGAAGAGCTTTCAGACGGGTATCGACTTTGTTTTCAAGCTCCGCCCGTTTGCGCTGGTAGACACCTTTGTGATACCTGCTGGCTTCTGTCTCGAAGTTCTTGACAGCTTTGGCCCGTGATGATCGCATCGCAGCACCCAAACCGCCAAGCACCTCCGGCTCACCAAGACGAGTGGCTTGTGACTGCTTCTCCTCAAATGGGAGAATAGCTTCATCAAAAGCTATCATCACTTCTCTCAAGATCTCGTCGCAGCGGAATTGTGCAAGTAGCTCCTGTTGCGTAGGCAGGTCGAGATCCTTGTTATTCACGATCTGGTCCCAAATGCCCTCTGCGTATCGTGAAAATCCGTCCGCGGGGATCCGCCGATGATATTCCGGAAGGAAGACTCCTCCCTCGGAGAACTCGCCTCTCCGCGCATCCATACTGGGGTCTCTTTGGCCTTCGCGGAATCGCAAGCTAAGCTTCTTAGTCTCGGTAACAAATTGCTCGGGTTGGTAGCTTTTGTGAGGGAGTCCATAGAATTGAAAATCGAAATAATCATGAACACTGGAGTTTTCAAGGCCAGGAGGCTTCGAAATAGACTCCCAGAGGCGAGACATGTCTTCCATCAATGTCTTCTGTAGATTTTTAAGAGGCGTTGTGCCAACAAAATCACGGATCACAAAGAAGAGAAGTGATCGGTGAGTGGTGCTGCATTACCAAAGTAATCAGTAAAATAGTCGCATGGGCTTAGAAGACCGGGGTCAGGTCAAACTAAACGTATGACCAGAACACATACTTCTTGTCCTTCAGGAAGAGCTGCAGATTGACCTCGAAGACTGTCTTCAACAGACCCATATTCGCGCCCTGGTACAGGCCAACTTGATGTTCCCATATATTCACAATAAGCACCTCACTCGTAGCAAGGGCGAACAGAGCACTTTTGCGCTCAAAGTCCTGGTCTTCTCCTCTCTCACGACCATCCGTTCCTTCAACATCCATGACGAGAATGTTATCCGCCATGCGCAGAGTTTGGTTCGGGGCGGCCTCCCCTTCATTCTTGTTCTTCGACATCCAGATACCCTTGGTTGTCTGGCGTCGCTCCGAATCGGACATGACGGAGAAGTGCGTGCCGAAGAGATGGTTCAGCAGCGTGGACTTGCCAGTCGACTGCGAACCAAAGACGGAAATGAGATGATAGTTGAAACCAGCAGGAGTGACATTTTCGAGGCTCAGATATTTTGAAATATTGGGGCTGCGAGTTGTGGACTGTTAGCTCATTGACTCCACCACTGGCACTCTCACCATGTCAAACAGACATTGAAATCAAACAGCTTGAGTCGGTGAGAGCATGAGGAAGAAACGTACTTGAACTCCTTATTCTCGTCTATTACTTGCACACCATGTTCGTACGCTGTCTTGTCATTGTCGACGCCAATCGAGGCGAAATGACCATTGGTCGCCATGGTGAACAGGATAGTACGAGGTCAGCCGTCGGGAGATGAAGAATACGACGGAGACGCCGGCAATTCCTTTGACAAAGTCGAGATTTTCGTTGTTGCGAAAATCAAGAAGGTGCGACAGAGTACCACAGACCACTGAGCAGCGGCTGGGGAATCGTCAAGATGCGGAGACCGTGGCGAGTTGTAATGACGAGCAATGTTGCTTGTGGGATAAGCGATTGCAGATGATGTAAATACCCACGCAAGGGAAATAAAAAGAGGACGAATGGACTCGACAATCACAAGACTCTCCGCGCGGGCTCATGTGCGATGATCAAACAACCTAAGCCCCGAGGTAAGAGAGGCTCGCTGGTGTTCGGCTGGTGTTATGATCCTACTCGTCACTCGTCACTCGTCACTGGGGGCCGCCTGAGTGCAAGCTCGAGGCGGGACCATAGGCCCCCTTTTTGGCCTAGCGTTGGTGTCACGTCCTAAGTAGTTGCACCGCCATCAGCACATTTCCAATGTGAGTCTCGCCACTTCGCACGATATCTTTCAGACGAAACTGACATCTTTGACAGTTGCCGCTGTTTGAGGGGATTAAATAGTTCGAAGAAATCTTCCACAAAGATTGAAACTCAGTGGGACAACCGCGGTTCTTTAGATATATGAATGAGATAGATGTGTGTTTTGGATGTATCTTCTTAGAACTATATTCGCACTAAAAGACACCTACGGAGGCGTGCACCAAAAGTGTTGACGCACGCTAGTAAGCTTGGCTGTATCCTGTTGATGCAGCCCCTTAGTAATTTATATGGTAACGTGTCCAGAAGGAATAATATTTAAATGAATCTATGGATATGAAGCTATTCAATATCTTCCCAATCTAGATCTTGACGTCTAGATAGCTGTCCCTTAATTCATCTTCCTTTCTGGTCATGCTTAGGCCTATCTCGCCCCTCTTGGTATTCATTCCCTCCTTATAGCTTGATAACCTCCTGGATATGGCGCATGAGGCGTTCAATCCATTGCTGAATCTTCTCCTGAGGAAGCTGATTCTATGCCTTTATCCAGATAGCTTTCCTAGTCTTCTTATCTCGAGGGGCTCCGCGGATAGTGGTCTATCTCTTTAGAAGTGGCCAGCATGGTTCAATAGCATTTAAATCAGGCGAATTCCCTGGCCAATCTAGAAGCCGTTGAACCATACCTTCCATTGCGGTCCTTGGATACAGATTCAATAATGGCTTTCTCCTTCTCAGGCGTTATCTCCTTAGGCCGGCCAGATCGTTTAGCATCCTCAGCATATTCCATTTGAACGCGTTCGCAGCTTCCAGGGTTGAATCCACGGTCTTTAGCACGTTGTATCATCTTCTGGATAGATCGAATAGGAACCTCTAGCTTAGTAGCAATATCTTTAGCTTCTACCCCCCAGGATATAAGCCCCAGTATCTGAATGCGCAATTCAATTGGATGATAACCGTTCTTAGGCATGGTAGGCAATAGATCTAATAAGAATAGTGAGTTTGGATAGTATCAAAGAGTTGAATACTAGAATGTAAACAAAGATTTTTCCCTCTGGACGCGTTGCCATATAAATTACTAGGGGGCTGCGTCAGCAGGATACAGCCAAGCTTACTAGCGTGCGTCAACACTTTTGGTGCACGCCTCCGTAGTTGGAGCCAGATTCTCAATTTATCCATAGCCATCATTTATTCATATCTAGGACATAGAATAGAGGAGGAGAGATATAACAAAATCCAGCTACATGCTTTCAATACAATAAAGTTATATGGACATTGACTCAAAAACGCCGGCGCAAACCTTCCTGATAGATACCTTTGCCGTTTCCCGCGCTGCAAGAAGGTGCGAGCAAAAGGACAATGAAAGTATAATTTTTCTTATAATACAGAGCAGCCAGTCAGTCGGTCATGCCTCGTGGTTATCTGCGAACCGGCCCTTTACTCGGTCATGACACGTGTGATCAGACCAGTAGCGACAGTGCGGCCACCCTCACGAATGTTGAAGCGCTGACCAGCCTCAGCAGCAACAGGGTGGTGGGTCTTCAGGACCATCTCAACGTTGTCACCAGGCATGACTCTGCGAGATTCGTCGCCGTCAGGGAAGCTGAGGTCAGCAGCCTCGTCTGATGAACCGTTAGCCTATATCTCTTGGAAAATCTGGACACGTTACGTCGAACTTACCCGCAGTACGGATGAAGACCTGAGGACGGTAGTTGGCACCGAAGCCAGTACGACGACCACCCTCGGCCTCGGTCAGGACGTACATGGAGACGAGGAACTTGTCGTGAGCCTTGGTGCTGCCGGGAACAGCAATGACCATACCACGCTTGACATCTTCACGGCGGATACCACGCAGGAGGAGACCAGAGTTGTCACCAGCACGCGACTCGTCACAGCTCTTCTTGAAGGTCTCAATGTCGGTGACTTTGGTCTTCTTGGGCTCGAAAGAGCCTCCGACGATCTCAACCTCAGAGTCCTTCTTCAAAATACCACGCTCGACACGACCGGAAGCGACGGTACCACGGCCAGCGATAGAGAACACTTCCTCGACAGACATCAAGAAAGGCTTGTCGAGGTCACGCTGAGGAGTGGGGATCCAGGTGTCAACGGCTTTCAAGAGGTCCTCAATTCTCTCTTTACCAATGTCGTCACGGCGTCCTTCGAGAGCACAGAGAGCGGAACCGAAAATAATTGGAGTCTCTTCACCCTCGAAACCGTAGCTGCTCAGCAGCTCACGCATCTCGAGCTCAACAAGCTCCAACATCTCCGGGTCATCGATAGCATCGACCTTGTTGACGAAAACAACGATCTTCTGGACACCGACCTGGCGGGCGAGCAGCAAATGCTCACGAGTCTGCGGCCTATTCGAGGAAACGTAAGCAATTCGTTTTACCACATATGTCCCAAGATATTCTACCTACATCTGACCGTCGGAAGCAGCAACGACGACAATAGCACCGTCCATGTTAGCAGCACCAGTAATCATGTTCTTAATGTAATCGGCGTGACCAGGGCAGTCGACGTGGGCGTAGTGTCGGGAGTCCGTCGAGAACTCAATGTGAGCAGTGGAGATGGTGATACCACGCTTGCGCTCCTCAGGAGCCTTGTCAATGGCACCATATTCAAGGAAGTTGGCAAGGCCCTTCTCCGACTGGTGCTTGGTGATAGCAGCGGTCAAGGTGGTCTAAAGAATGTGTGAGCAATGTACAAGACAGGCGCGGGAAGGTCGGAAGCATGAAGGGAGTTTCGGAGCTACCTTGCCGTGATCGACGTGGCCAATGGTACCTATACAAGATTGTTAGTGGAAGAGGTCAGTTCAAATGAAAAATTATTCCTTACCAATGTTAACGTGAGGCTTAGTGCGCTCAAATGCACTAGCCAGGCCACGAGCAGCTAGTTTGTTGTTGCCAAATACATGTTGCACGGGGTTGAGGGCGCGAGGACGCAGCAAAGAAGCCTTGCTGGAGCGCAGGAGAAGATTTGCCGTTCTGGAGATGCTCGACATGATGACTGCCCCGGACTAGAACGACAGACAAAAAGAGACAAGAGCAAACAGATGGAAAGGAAGAAATGGAGCCGGACTGATGGTCGAGAAGTTCTCCATCGGAACCCCGAAAAATTTAGGGGAGACTGCTTAGTCATAAGTTGCCCAATCACAGCTGCGGGATTGCTGGAATTCAAGATATCTACCTAGATAGGCAAGACACGACGTGAACAGCAGGCAAAAACATATTTAAATAGCAATAATGGTCATTTACACAGGCTTTCTCAACTCCTAATATAATGGACAGAAGAGCCAAGTAGGACTGATATGGTGAAGCAAGAATCCAATTGCCAAGCTGATACCTCTCTATGCTCTTCCATCTACTCCGTAGAACCCAAGTAACCTTCTGGTCTTAGTTAGGCTTGAAGTAATGGAGTGTTACTATACATGACATTTCGCTGAGGGTTATCAATGTTTATGTACGCCAAATATAACTTAGGGAACTGCAAGCTGGCGAAGACATGTCAATTGTCCTTCTTTTTCACAAATAAGGTAACATGTTTGCCTGGTTCCCCTTCCATGGGCTTGATCTGCATCGCATCCGCTTCCTTCGTAGCTTGAAAGACGCTGTCCATGACGTTCTTGATCTCTTCCACAGTGGGTGCCCGTTTACCCTTTTTCCGCGTCAGGATGATCTCCACGCGTCGACCTTTGTCCAGGAAGCTTGTCAATTGCTTCAAGCGGTGTGCCAGATCATGATTGTCAATGGCCCAATTCAACTCAATCTGCTTTACTGCTGTCTTAGTGGCATGAGCAGCTTTGGCTTTAGCTCGCTCGTGCTCACGCATGGCCATTTTGTTCACGATTTTGCAGATTGGTGGGCGGTCAGGAAGGGCTGGAGACACTTGTATGAGGAAGTTTTCAGAGCGATTGAGAGAGCGTAGCACATCTCTCAGCTTCATGGCAGGCTCAAGGTCACCATTTTCGTTGACAATTTGTATATACTCCGACCGAATATCTTCATCTCTGATCTGTTTCTGTTTTGATTGTTGTGAGGGAAGATGGCGAGAAGACTGAAGGAACCTCAATTGTGTTCCTCGTAAAGCACAATTGTAGCGTAGAAACTGGACATGGGTGGACTGGAAAGGGGCCAGGAAGGTATGGCGAAGTGCTTGTGTTATTGATATTAGGCCGCGTGTGTGCTTCATGTCGACTATTCGTCGTATGGCACGGCGATTTCGGTGGCAGGAAGCGAAAGAACAACTGGGATACCCAAGATTCGTATATTCAAAGGAAATGGAAAATATGTGCGACTTATCTTGATTGTTAGGTGAAAACAAAGAGTGATCGGTGTAGGATAAGGAGTAGATACCCGCCTCTCTTCATTGAAGTTGATCCCACGACTGTTCTACCCACTGGACGCATGCAGGAAGCCAAGCCACAGCAGATGGGGAACAACCGCCACAGCGAGTGGGTCAATGCCATCGTTTCAAGGGTCTCGTCTCTGTCTTGGACTTTCC